AATTTTAATTAAAATACTTTGAAATGTGTAGCTGTTAAGAAAACTTTCAATTTAAAGAAAACTTTCAATTTAACGACCAATTTGTCCTGTTACTAGAGCCATAAGATATGCTACCACAGATGTCATAGCACAATACAGAAGTTACTATGAGTTTGCTTCAGAGTCTGAAGTTTGCACAAAGCACAAGTGGTTGTTGGAATTGTTCCAAATTCTCTCAGGGAATTATACATAATTACCAGTGACAATTAGTGGAACAATTCATAGCCAGGAAATGTTTTGGAGGCTTTGTCCTAAAGGCAGGTCATGACCTTGATTCCTCTGACCTTCCATTTGTTGCCCTTGGTTACAGACAATACAAAATGTTATACTGAAGTCTTAGTATATATCGGTAAGGTGTTCTTGTTGTACGGAAGTGCCAAAAAATGTGTTGTCATTAACAAAAAAGATTAGAAATTCTGGAACTCTCTGAATTGTTGATGATCAATAGTTGGATTTTCTTAATGAATAGAAGATTGTACACGAATATTAGATATCAGTGTTTAGTCCCGTATCACAGGGTCAAATTTGTTTACTTTTTCTGAGTGTCCCATATCTCTTAACCTTAAATTGCCAACTTACCTGAAAGAAGTGTTTATGTTTCTTTGTGAATTTTGGAGGTTCTGCAATTTTTCTTATGTTCTGAAAGTGCAAGTTTCCAGAGTGCTAATTGTGTGAAATATGGTTTTTTTTTTGATAACACAGAGAGGCTTCTTGGACAGAAGTACAAATTTAAAAACTTACAGCAAGATTTTATGTAGAATAATCTTTTACCAAATGAAGCTTTCATTACCGTAAATTTTTGCATATAGTATCTAAATTAACGTACTGTAAAATGTAAATCAGGGTTTGCATTGATCATATTATTGCAATTAAAACCAGATTTGACAGGGTAAAGTCTGGTTAGTATGGTCAGTCCCTGGTTAAGTCTTGTTAGTATGACCTGTCCCTGGTAAAGTCTGGTTTGTATGGTCAGTCCCTTGTAAAGTCTGGTTTGTATGGTCAGTCCCTGGTAAAGTCTGGTTAGTATGGTCAGTCCCTGGTAAAGTCTGGTTAGTATGGTCAGTCCCTGGTAAAGTCCGGTTAGTATGGTCAGTCCCTGGTAAAGTCTGGTTAGTATGGTCAGTCCCTGGTAAAGTCTGGTTAGTATGGTCAGTCCCTGGTAAAGTCTAGTTAGTATGACTTTTCCCTGGTAAAGTCTGGTTAGTATGACCTGTCCCTTGTAATTAAAGTCTGGTTAGTATGGTCAGTCCCTGATAAAGTCTGGTTAGTATGACCTGTCCCTGGTAAAGTCTGGTTAGTATGACCTGTCCCTGGTTAAGTCTGTTTAGTAAAGTCAGTCGCTGGTAAAGTCTGGTTAGTGTGACCTGTCCCTGGTAAAGTCTGGTTATTATGACTTGTCCCTGGTAAAGTCTGATTAGTATGACCTGTCCCTGGTAAAGTCTGGTTTGTATACCTGTCCCTGGTAAAGTCTGGTTTGTATGACCTGTCTCTGGTAAAGTCTGATTAGTATGGTCAGTTCCTGGTAAAGTCTAGTTAGTATGACCTGTCCCTGGTAAAGTCTAGTTATATATAGTATGGTCTTTCCCTGGTAAAGTCTGGTTAGTATGACCTGTTCCTGGTAAAGTCTGGTTAGAATGACCTGTTCCTGGTAAAGTCTGGTTAGTATAACTTGTCCATGGTAAAGTCTGGTTAGTATAACCTGTCCCTGGTAAAGTCTTGTTAGTATGTTCTTACCAGACTTTACCAGGGACAAACTGAAAGACCTTATGTTAACTTAACTTGACCAGTGATTGTGGTCAGTTGTTCTGTAATGTAAAGGACAGTAAGGAGATTCTCATCTATAGAGAGATAATGTAGTCAGGCTAATGATTGTGTCCTGATGAGTTCCTGATGGTGATTAGCTGATATTGTCCAGTATGAGTGCCACCTGGTGGTCAGTGATGGACATTTACTTCATTTGGATATTGACATCCCTGTAGTTACTGCAGGCCTTTAGGTATATCACTTGACCCAAAATAACTTCAAATGTTGATGGGCTCATACAATAATATAAAACAACCCCATTAAGATATCACAGATCTATGCTTCTTCACTGGGTATAATAAAGGTCTACCACCAAAGGGAACGTGGATAGAGTAGTTTAGCCTGCTGCGTATTGTAGTACAGCATGACCGATCTGAATTGATGGTGCTGTTTTGTTGGCGACAAACACATTATGTCTAAAATTGATCAGCTTTCCCCTTTGCAACACTTAAATGTATGTCTTTTCCATTCTCTCCTATCCCTTGTAATGCCCCTCTTGGTGTTATGTGTCACGTTACATTGTCCAAGTTATGACATCTCATGATCAGTTTGGTGACATTTGGAATTGCCCCTTTATAAATGGCCTTATATTACTGGTCAGATGACCTTATTACTGTAAGATATAAGATACGAAACAAAGTAAACTCACATAAATTGATTTTTTATGCCCCCGCCATAAAATGGGGGGGGGGGCATATAGTGTTGCCCATGTCTGTCCCGTCCCGTCCCGTCCCATCCCATCTGGGGACATTATGTCTTACAGACAGTTTTCTAGTTTTCAGTATTTTGTGAATTTTCACCTACCCAAATGTTCTATGATTTTTTGATGGAGTCTAAATTAATCATGTTTGTTTAATTACTGTATATATCTAATGCTAAACACATTTTAAAAGTAAAACATCGTTATAGCTAACTACATAGCATGTAGTCATAAATTAAGCAAAAGAAAGAAAAACAAATAATAGATGAGAATTTATTCATCTATTTTTCAAAAATTCTGCCAAAATTTCATTATAGGAATTGGGCTGAATATCAACCTTAAATATATATAGGGGAGAATCGTTACTTTTTACCGACAGCCAAGCTTTGAACCAGATGTAGTAATAGAGCTACAGGTGTGTGGCACTAATTGTGTTCATTATCAAAATCTGCTTGGATCAGAGCCAATTTGTTTTGTACATACAGAATTGGGATTTCACAAGCTGGCTTTGTAGTACTTTGTAATGTCTAAGAGACTGGACACTTTGGTTTCTGGGAAGGTGTCTTCTGTCCATCCTCAGTCAGAGCACTGAACACTTCAGTGGTTGAGGTAGTTAGATGGTGCAGTGGATAACTCACATATTTCATCAAGACAACCAGTGTTTTATTCCCCAATCAGATTTGAGAAGATACCGGGTCACCCGATTAAGAGAGTTTTCTCCATGTACTCTGGTTTAAATTTCCTCCCACAATTTGACCCTCTGATCGCTTTTATTTTGACCAACAAGAATGATAAATAAAGAAATTAAAAAGTTGTTTCATAAAATTGTTGAACGATAAATAAAATCTATTTAACATACCAGTATTATAGTGTCAACATATCACCCTTGTATACCCTGATCTTCACTATGTTCTGTGAAAGCAATACATCTGAGTGCTATACATATTGCTTTGTAACACAAAACCAGCATGTGCTTCATGAATAAACCCTGTCAGCAGAAATTCAAGGCATTTTAAAACAAAAAGTCAGTTGATAAATAGCTAGGAGGCAATAGGACTGTAGGTTAGCATATCTACAGGTTATGTAAAGCTCACAAGGGGCCTACATGTACCACCATCAGTGTCGATAATGGGGACTTCGGCATAATATAGCAAGGTCGCATAGGAAAACATCAACCAGCTGTTTCAAACCCTTAGAATTACACATTCGTTTTCTCTGTAACTAATTATTGAAAGTGAAACTGTGTATCAGGTTGTACAGTAATACGGTGAACATTCTCATGCCTGTGCAGTGTGCAAAAAGCTGGAAAATTGGAGGATCGAAAATGAAAGAAAACAAATATTTGCAATAGGCAGTGGATCTTTTTCACTGGCCAGTTTCCATGGAAATGACTCTTGGGATATTAACCAAATGCTTTAAGGTCGATATCAATGATAGCATTAGAACAGTTTTAACAAATCGTTTTTAATCAGTAAAATTGAAAGCTAGACAGAGCACGTACATCATGATGTTTGCTTGCAAAGCTGTGTCATTCATATAGCCTATCATTAATAAGACAGGCGATAGAAATATTAAAATAAGTGATATTAGTAATTTCCATATAGATACAGAGATATCAAAACAGGTGATTCTATAGTTACAACAAATGAATATATTAAGACAAGTGATATTGACAGTAACAATATAGACATAGAGATGTAGCGGAACCTGAGACTCGGTAGATCACATGCGACCAGGTAGCTCTTAGAGAGTCCGTCTAGAGTTTGAAGGTCCCTGGTTTGAATCCCTGTCTGACTGTTTTAGTTTTGTTTCCTGTTACATTTGGCACCCAACTAAATAAGCCATTGGAAGATGGTATAAGGTCTTGCAATTGTGTGTCTTGGATCAAAGAATTTGTTGAAGTGGGGGGGGGGGGGAAATCTACTGGAAGTGGATTGCGAAGATCATGGTCTGATCTGGTCTGGCTGTTACATTTTTATACGCCTGTAAAATGACGACGTATTATGTTTTCGGGCGGGCAGGCGGGCGGGTGGAGGCACACATTTGTTTCTGCTCAATAAAATATAAGTTGAGTAATTTTGAATGGATTCATTTTAAACTTGGTAGGGAGGGTCATTTCTATGAAAGCTTGCACAAGTTTGATAACCATTATCCGCCTGTTGTTAAGGGAGTTATGGCCCTTTATAGAATTGACGTAACAATTTCCGCTCAATAACTTGAGAAATTTTGAATAGATTCATTTCAAACTTCAGCCATAATTTTCGGACTTATAGCCTTTTGTATATATGTCGGAACACAATTTCTGCGCAATAACTTAATGCACTTATATATATATAATTATGGCCCTTTGTGGCAAACTGCTCATTCGACATCTGACGGGCGTTACAGATACAGTGAGACATACGTATGTAGAAGTAATGACACTGATTGTTGTATTTTATGCTCGTTATCTTTACAGGTAATGCCTTGGTGAAGTCGGGTCAGACACAGATTCAGATAGGTAATACTGAGCGGGAGTTCACCCAGGCCACAGTAAATAACTTCCTACAGCCCCTCAAAAGCTTCCTGGAAGGTGACATGAAAACCATACAGGTAAATCTCGTCAGTGATACAGGCATTTATTGAAATAAATTACAAATATTTGTTTTCATTTGTAGCCACACATTAATGAGGCACACTTATTAGTTTGATGATAAATATTTGATACACAAAAAGTTCATAAAACAATGGTATAGTTTTTAGGTGCTCTGACAAAAACATATTTTTTTATTTATTGAAATTGTTGAAGTTGCTTAACTTTACCACGTGCAAACCGAAATCTTATTAGTAACCATGCAATCCTTTCTGTATCAAGTGTTTTATTCTAAAAACGAAAATATCACATGTTGCTTCTAATCTACTGAAATACACACGTACAGAAATCTCATTAATAAATTACACCTGTTTCAGGTATTGTTGGTGAATTAGTCTGGATGCTCTGAGGAAAATGTGGTTATCACTTAATTGTATTGAGTTTGATTTGAAAAGATGGCATAGGCACTGAATGCATTGCTAACAGAAATGCCCTAGCTGACTAAACACAGTCTCTTCAATGTTTAATGACATCCTGCTGCAGACAAGACATTTATAAGAGCTCTGCTAACCCAGATCATGGTAGAAAGTGTGGTTACAGTGTAGCATCATTCAGAGTTATTTGTCTAGGATCAGAAGATGGAATACAATATTGTTGACATGATGTTATAGCACAATGAATACAATATTGTTGACATGATGCTATAGCACAATGAATACAATATTGTTGACATGATGCTATAGCATAATGAATACAAACAATAATCTAAAGTACAGGATAAAATTGATCAAAGCTGATACATTTTGTCTTTTGTTATTTTTGTTTCAGAAAGAGAAAAAGATTTTAGAGGTAAAACGATTAGACTTAGATGCTTCGAAAAACCGATTGAGAAAAGCGAAATCTACAGCAAGTCAACAACAGGTAAGCTTAATGTTACTGGGTCAGTAATTAGGTTCACCAAACTAAGAAATTCTGTGTATTAGCTTTTTAATAACTCATTACATGTGTTTAAATTTCATATTTATTTTACTTCCTTGACATGTTTCTATAGATATCTACCATTTAATATGGTTATATTTATTGATTAGAATTTTATATTATGGCACTAACATGGATCATTAGAATTTGGTCTCTCGAAAACATATAGTTCTGCTACTTTGTTGTGGATATTTTTGGCACAAGTTTAGTATAATATATCAAACATTGTGTTCAGTTATGAAATCCTTTTATCTATAATACAGCTTTCTAATAAGTTCACTTCAAAGTGACAGCCCACTCCTCAGTCAGCATTATAATGTTGTAATCACAACATATAACATGACCATACATGTGCAGTGTTTACATATAGAATATTTGTGATTATTATTTATAGCTAGCTTTAATGTTCTGTATTGTTGGTGAGGTAGATACATTATTGACAGTGGCCACCATTTATGGTCGATGTAGCAGATGGTCCGATCATCTGTAATGATTCTATGAAACATCTGTAATTTAAGATCAAGATTAATCAAATCTGATCATATTTCTCTGTCATGGTATTCTTTATTCTCAGGTATCAAAATCACTGAGAACCATACTTTTTGGTTTCCTACTAAGCAAGATAAACTAGTTTACAATAGATGGGGCAAATATTCTTTTACACATTAGATTTATATCATTATCTGATGGCCATCAGTTTGAAGCTTTTGATATCCATAAGGTCTGGTCAATTTGTTCTCTAAGACATGTTTATTCTAAACACATTGATTCTTATCTTACCAACAAAACTGTACAATGAGGAGAAGCTGGGATATGTTTTAGATCTAGAATGAATGTGTCGGAATAGTATTGTAATATTTGAAGGTTAAGAATACTTCGAATTCATGGCTGGATTGATTACGATATGGAGAGGTGTTTAAAGGACATGTACTGACAAATCACAAGGCATTCTGTGCATCTCTGTCTGGCCCATGTACACGAACATGTGTTGCTATGCTTGTATACAGATGGTATCAGTTGAATTAAGAAAATAAAAAAAACAGTGGTGGTTGGAAATCAATAAAGAGAACCACTGATGTAAGTGTGAACTCACAGCACATCATGCATTACTCTGACATGTAACACCATCTGGTGTGGCGTGTAGATACTAGATATTAAAGGGAGACAACTACCCTTTCATTATAAGGTATCATGGTATGATTTTTTTATGCTTCGAAGCTATCTGCAAATCAGTCTGATCCTTATTATCTGATATCTATAGTTGTGAACCACTGTACAACTTATATTAAGAAATTAGAGCATGACTGAATTATGTATGGCCATGTGCTTGAATGTAATGATATATTTCTTACCTAAAAACACTGTACTCTGCTGTAGTGACTAGGGTTTCATTTTATGGTAATATTTTGCTTTTGATCAAACACAGGCCTGTGGCTGGTGTTTATGATTATAAATATGCTGTATATTATATTGCTAGTGGTCAATGTAGTATAGTAATACAATTATAATTACTGCTTCATATATGTTGTATGTTCGAGAAATTTATGTGGATTTTGAATACATTATATCTATATAAAAGCCTGGGTCATGTTCTCACATATATAATCCTACATGCTTGGTATCACCTGTGTGCACATGGATATTGGACTATTGAATTACTTACAGGTATAGATAGTGGGGAGGACTCTGTGAAAGGGTGTGTGAGATGGGTTGGGGTAGGCGAGGAGAGAGGTTAAATCACTACAACATCTTTAATTTAAACTTAAATTCAAGTTGAAAACTACTTTTATTAGTACTTACAGTTGATAAATTAAGTATCTAAAGAAACTAGAACTACGTAACAAAATGATAGAAAAAAACACAACCAAACATAACAATCTCAGGGAATTCCCTTCCTGAATAATAGTTTATAAATAGCCAGTCAAACAGTTAACACATCTGATGGGAATCCCTCCTCAAGGTTTAACATGTAATGTATATATGTAACAGAGGTCATTATTTTTTTAATGCCTCCGCAAGGAGTCGAACAATAGTCCATCATTACAAATTGCCACCTGAGAATTCCTCTCCAAGGTATTTATACGTGTATATATTATTATATCTAAACATCAATAATCAATATGTCACCCGCAGAAAATCCTCCTCAAAAGATGGTAAATGTAATACAACACATACAAAGTTACTAGTCATCCAATACAATCAGTACATCACCCAGCTGTGGGGATTCCCTTTCAGGATTAGTTGATGTATAAATAGCCAGCCAAACATGTACAGCACATGATCTTCTGAGAAAGGAATCCCCCTGGAAGATTGTAATGACTATGTATAAGTAGTCCCCATATCAATATATCATTGTGGTCCTCTGAGATTCTCCCTCCATGATAGTAATGTGTAGATAGCTAACTATGTAATCAACACATGAATGTATGGAGATCTGTCTCCTGGACAGACAATCTGAATAATTCATCTTCTGGGAATTCTTATTATAATATATACTTCTGTACATGAAATGGTCCATATAACGACATAGGAGATTTGAAACATGGAAATTACATAAATAATCAAAGTTTATATGGCTATGTAAGAATGTGTTAGATATGATATTGTTGTATTTGTTACTGACTTTGCATTTCTGGATGAGGTGACCTTTGAGGTGACCTTTGGTGACTTATCACAAAGATACACCTATATATATATGTGTGTACCATAAGACTGCAACATATGTACACTTACATGTATCATATATATGTGTAAATGAACATGTAGGTCACACTCATGGTTTCATGTGTAACAGTTTACCATATGCAAAGGTGTATAGTGCACTCATTCCTACATGTGTAACTGTGCATTGAATGTTCCCTACTGATAAGATATGCCACACACACTTATGTACTTTGTGTATGGTGTGTGTGAGCATGTATATGTGGTATGACCACAAGTGTGTACTATCTATGTGTGTATGGTGTGTGTGAGTATGTATCTGTGGTATGACCACAAGTGTGTATTATCTATGTGTGTATGGTGTGTGTGAGTATATATATGGGGTATAACCACAAGTGTGTACTATCTACATGTGTATGGTGTGTGTGTGAGTATATATATGGGGTATAACCACAAGTGTGTACTATGTATGTGTGTATGGTGTGTGTGTGAGTATGTATATGAGGTATGACCACAAGTGTGTATTATCTATGTGTGTATGGTGTGGGTGAGTATATATATGTGGTATGCCCACAAGTGTGTACTATCTGTGTGTGTATGGTGTGTATGTGTTTGTATATGTGGTATGACCACAAGTGTGTACTATCTATGTGTATGTGTGAGTATATATATGTGGTATGACCACAAGTGTGTACTATCTATGTGTGTATGGTGTGTGTGTGAGTATATATATGTGGTATGACCACACGTGTGTACTATCTACGTGTAATGTGTGTCTGTCTTTTACAAGCCTAACTCCACTACCAACACCCTGACCCTCGTAGAGGTTAGTGACTCTTGTTTTCATGCATGATCGTTGTCCACCCTTATTTTGTTGAAGTGTCTAGCTAGAGTTCTTACCGTTGTCTTGGTTTACACCATTCTAAAATGGGTTACTCTAAACATTTATAAAAATCAGATCTTTGCATGGAATGTTTTAAATATTGCTGATTCTGTTCATGATACTTCTATCATTTACTTTCACAGTACAAGCCTCCTGTCAGTAAAGTTCTGTCTTGAGAACAAAATAATTTTAGGATTTCATAAGTTCAAGGTCATAGAGCTGGGTACGTAGCACAGACTCAATATTAACCATGTACATGTGATTTAAGTTAATGAAGTGAGCCATCTGATCAGGCTCCAGGTTAGGTAAGCGACCACACCTTGGTGTGTGACAGTGGTATGTACATGTGACTTAATATAAGTTAATGAAGTGAGCCATCTGATCAGGCTCCAGGCCAGGCAAGAGTTGGACAACACAGTCAGCTCAATAATCTCATAATTTACTTTGGCAAAATGGCAGAAAAACCATAAAACAGCAATTTGTATTTAAATACACCCCATGCAATAACTTTATGTTTCTTCTGGACTCTGTGTATTGATTATGTAGGAATCTAGGGAAATGGCTTATTTGCATGTCCATGTATGTTTTACTGTACTTTTTATACAGGATGGAATACATTTCTTACATTTGTATTAAGCAGTGATGTAATCCTCTTACATCTTACTGTATCTGTTACAGTGATAGTAAAGCTGAATTCATATATAGAGGGCTGTACTACAGATATACCATATTTTGTTCATTGTCTTTTTGGTTTAGGTTAAATATAAGAATGTTCAGCAATAAATTGTTTTGTGTCCTGTGAAACATCCATCTGTATCGTTTGCTACGTTAAGTTTTAGTACCGTAATTCTCATAAATATGATTATGCGTTGACAAAGTATAATTACCTGTAAATCACTTCATACTTGATGGATCAGAACCTATATTTTACTAGGTTAATTGATATCATATTGATGACATCCTCAATACTCTACTTGATCGAGACATGGATGGATTTCAATAAAACTTGCTTAATTAGGATGTACAATATATACTGCTAAGTTAATCAGGGTGTACAATCTATATATACTGCTAAGTTAATCAGGGTGAACAATCTATACTGCTAAGTTAATCAGGGTGTACAATCTATACTGCTAAGGTAATCAGGATGTACAATATATACTGCTAAGTAAATCAGGATATACAATCTATACTGCTAAGTTAATCAGGACAATATATACTGCTAAGTAAATCAGGATGTACAATATATACTGCTAAGTTAATCAGGACAATATATACTGCTAAGTAAATCAGGATGGATGAATATCTAATGATGTTTAGACTCTTTTTTTTTTAATTCTGATTGGTATTTGCNCTGTTGACAAGCCAAGTAGATGTATCCAGTCGGGCGCAGAGGTCGTCAGTGGGTCTATCTCCTCCTACCCTGTTACCATGGTAACTTTTACCAACCATATTTATATGCACCAGTGAGAGTTAGCTATTAGGAACAACCTTTATTTTGAACTTGTACTAGATTTGATTTCTTTCTGTACATTTTGTTCAGTTACGTTTAGTCACCCTGCATAGGTCTTGACATCTTGCAAAAATAGGAAACTATCGGTGAAACTTTGGCATACACAAAAATGTTGCCATTGCACAAAAAATGTCAGCATGCTCAAAAATGTTGACAAAACAAAAGTGTCAAAATACCCAAAAATGTCACCATACAAAACTGTTGACACGCACCAAAATGTAAACATATACAAAAATGTTGCCGTACAAGTGCTAACATACAACATTACACAAAAAATGTTGGCATATATGTGTAGTACAACTGTTTGGACAATTGCTGGTGACTCCGAGTTTGAACACAGTTGTTCCCAGCTCCAGTTATAGTTTGGAGGTCAAATCCTCGTATGGCCAATGTTTGAGCACAGTTGTTCCCAGCTCCAGTAAGAGTTTGGAAGTCCCAATCCTCGTATGGCCAATGTTTGAACACAGTTGTCCCAAGCTTCAGTTAGAGTTTGGAGGTCCCAATCCTCGTATGGCCAATGTTTGAACACAGTTGTCCCCAGTTCCAGTAAGAGTTTGGAAGTCCCAATCCTCGTATGGCCAATGTTTGAGCACAGTTGTCCCCAGTTCCAGTAAGAGTTTGGAGGTCAAATCCTTGTATGGCCAATGTTTGAGCACAGTTGTTCCCAGCTCCAGTAAGAGTTTGGAGGTCCAAATCCTCGTATGGCCTATGTTTGAACACAGTTGTCCCCAGCTCCAGTTAGAGTTTGGAGGTCAAATCCACGTATGGCCAATGTATTTGTTTACTCCTGTTACATATCTAGCACAAGACTGAGATTTATCCTGTAAAGATGGTACAACGGTTGTATTGGATTGGATTCTATGTGTCTTTGGGGTGGAAGAATTTGTTGAAATTCATGGGATTTCNTGAAATATGTAAATTACAGGTGTTCTTTCTTAATCTATCGGAATTATTAAATCTAAAAGTTCCGTGGATGTCAATATTCTGGAATCGTTTAGTGATACCTGTCCTGTCCTATTAAATCTTTTTCCTATGATATGTTATTGAAATCAAGTTTTTGATACATGTTACTGATGTCACAGCAGACTCAGCTTTGGTAAAAGGTCTACTGTTGTCTGTCCTGTAACTTCTTTTTGAGAGGGGTCAGAAGTTAAGTCATTGAAATATATATCCAGACCGTTAGTTCTTATTGCCTCATGCTCATCCTAATACATTTAGCCTATTACTATATCAGTGAAAGGTTTCATTAGGGAACCTCCTTAGATAAATAATAAAAATAAATCTACAACATTTGATATAGCGCCCTATCTAGCTAGCATAAGCCACTCTAAAGCGCTTTATACAATTTAATACAATGAATACAATTAGCATATACATTAATCAATACAATTTTGAGGAATTCACAGGAGCTGCCTTATCAGGCGCTAACTACTAGTCATATATATGCCACCTGGCTAATATCTCCCTATGTGTGTATGCCTGCTTGTGTGCTGGAGATGTATTGTGTTCTGTTTGTAGTGGGACCGTACTTCCAACGGTATCATTTATAGTACCACCTCACTTGAATGCCACAGCACAGATACCGCAACATCCACCCCAGACCATTTTATACTCCACCTGGGTTGTTGGAGTTGTGTGGGCAGGAGAAAAACACTTTCTTTGAATATTCCATGCGTACGATGACTTCGGGGATCGAACCCTGGCCGTCTGCTTGGAGGGCCAAAGTGTTAACCATGTCATAATAAAGTATAACATAACATTCTTGATTCTCTGGTACTTACGCCAAATTGTAATATATATATAGGTGAAAGATTTCATTGGGGAACTTCCTTAAGATGTGTGTACCATGTCATGATAAAGTATTACATAACATTCCTGGTTATCTGGTATGTACACCAAGTTTTTATGGTCATGACAAAGTTTTAAATGTGTAGATTATAAACGTATAAAGTATTTTTTGCCACTACTGCCATCTTCTTTCCTGCATTTGTAGACACATTTATACATTATACATGTTAAGGAGTACATGAGAAATGAGGATACTGGGTTACCTACATGAGTCTTTAAACACCTTTGTTTTCATCAACACTCTTATTTAAGAGTTGTTGGTACAGATTTGCCAGTAATTAGTCAACCAAAGAGATAACTGTTTAATTAACAACAATCTGTTTTTATATTTTACCTGTTGACAAGCCAAGTAGATGTATCCAGTCGGGCGCAGAGGTCGTCAGTGGGTCTATCTCCTCCTACCCTGTTACCATGGTAACTTTTACCAACCATATTTATATGCACCAGTGAGAGTTAGCTATTAGGAACAACCTTTATTTTGAACTTGTACTAGATTTGATTTCTTTCTGTACATTTTGTTCAGTTACGTTTAGTCACCCTGCATAGGTCTTGACATCTTGCAAAAATAGGAAACTATCGGTGAAACTTTGGCATACACAAAAATGTTGCCATTGCACAAAAAATGTCAGCATGCTCAAAAATGTTGACAAAACAAAAGTGTCAAAATACCCAAAAATGTCACCATACAAAACTGTTGACACGCACCAAAATGTAAACATATACAAAAATGTTGCCGTACAAGTGCTAACATACAACATTACACAAAAAATGTTGGCATATATGTGTAGTACAACTGTTTGGACAATTGCTGGTGACTCCGAGTTTGAACACAGTTGTTCCCAGCTCCAGTTATAGTTTGGAGGTCAAATCCTCGTATGGCCAATGTTTGAGCACAGTTGTTCCCAGCTCCAGTAAGAGTTTGGAAGTCCCAATCCTCGTATGGCCAATGTTTGAACACAGTTGTCCCCAGCTCCAGTTAGAGTTTAGAGGTCCAAATCCTCGTATGGCCAATGTTTGAACACAGTTGTCCCCAGCTCCAGTTAGAGTTGGAGGTCCAGATCCTCTTATGGCCAATGTTTGAACACAGTTGTCCCCAGCTCCTGTTAGAGTTTAGAGGTCCAGATCCTTGTATGGCCAATGTTTGAACACAGTTGTCCCCAGCTCCAGTTAGAGTTTAGAGGTCCAAATCCTGGTATGGCCAATGTTTGAACACAGTTGTCCCCAGCTCCAGTTAAAGTTTTGAGGTCCAAATTCTCGTATGGCCAATGTATTTGTTTACTCCTCTTACATATCTAGCACAAGTCTGAGATTTATCCTTGAAAGATGGTACAATGGTTGTATTGGATGTGTCTTTACAGGAGTGGAAGAATTTGTTGAAAATTATGGGATTTAAGTTTGAATCCAGGTATGCCTATTGCTTTTTTCCCACACAAATGTTCCCTTATTGGCAATAAGTTTTTGTTCTGTTTACATTATAGATATACTCCGATCAAAATGTTGTTAAAATGGGGCTTCTTGTAAATAATCATCTCATTGTTTGTTTGGTCTCAGTGGAAAACTGTGACCTTTATGGACAAGTTCAACACTATATATTTGTGGCCTGTCATTACAGAAATGCTATTGTCAATCATTTTACCTCCCCTGTACTCAGCTTTCTTGATCTGAGGTCATGTCTGTCACTTAACTCTATGTGAACTCCAGTCTCGCTGGTATAAATCTTCTAAACTCGTAAGCGGAATTTTCATTAGCAATTAATTTGCATTGCTTGAGATTTTCCTGGACACTTGAAATCAACTTGCATTGCTTGAGATTTTCCTGAACTCTATACAAACTTGAAACACTTCTTCACAACATATCCTTTTGATCATTGTGAATATATTGATTACTTTGACCTTTCATGACATTCCTTCCAACTATCAGAATTTACAAATGTGCAAAAATCTTGTCAAGCAGTATTTTTACTTCTGCATGCGAATTCATTTTTTCTTGAATTCTCATTTTCAAATTAAATGTCAAGATCGTGTCAAGGATATATAACAGTGATGTTGCAGACTTGGCTTTGAAATATGAGGACTTCTTCAGGCTTTCAACAAGTCTTGTTAGTGCCCCACACTGTTACTACTGCAAGGGATCCTGGACTTCATGTTTGCACTCTGTTTATATATATAATTATCAGTCACTCCGTCAGTCAGTTTATCACTTTTCATTTTATATGGAATGGTGGCCATCATTTGCCACTTTGCCTATATCATGTTCCTTGTCATCTACAATTACAAAAGTTTGTAATTTAAAAAGCAAGTACCAATGAGATGACAGGGTGTTACACACTGAAATAGATTGTGTCTCTTGCCTTGCTATGTACAGAGTTATTGCCCTTTGTTCTTTGTTTTGTTGTATATGTCTGGGGCATATATCATATACCTTGCCACCTACAATAACCACAACTTGTATACAAATACTTCTTGGGATGGAAAGGTGTCACACACTGAAAATGGGTTTCAAGACCCACCTTATACAGATCTAGAGCTATGGACTTTAGTTATAGACTTTGATAAGGAAATCTGTTGGAAAAAATGAGGGCCTACCATCACAAATAAAATTTTGCACTACAGGTTTTCAATAAGTGTTCCTGAACTCCATTGGAATGTAAACCTATAGAATGTACCTGGGTATTTGTCATAGTGGTTTACCTTTAAACCTGTAGAGTGTACTTGGGTATTTGTCATACTGATGACCTGTCCCAGTAGCACTTACACAGCATGCAGACCTTCACCAGGAACAGCTGTAGTGATGGATCACCTGCCTTCCCGTCAATAGCTAGTCTAGGTGGTCAGATCGGGACAGCATGAGTCAGAAGTTAAACCTACACTTTTTTATTTACACACAAGCTAATTGAGTTGTCCTTCTGTGCTTTCACATGGACATTTTACATCCATTTTGTTTTATAATTTGATTTAGTCATGGAGAGCACAGGATATGCTGATTGAGTTGGGGCCATTTTGTTTGTAGATTAGTGTTATACCTAGAGTCTTATCCCCAAGTGACTGTTTATTGATCCCCATGTAAGGACCAGAAAGTGAAACAGCACACTCCCCACAAAGTTAACACCGAGGCGAAGTACCATTTCCTGTATAAATAGTTTTAATCTTCCTTTCTGATTAGATCAACCAGTTTCTAAGAATAGACTAAGATTTTTTCCCGTGTCTGAATCCATATGTCCAAACTCAGGGGCGTTTCTAGGATATTTCAAATCTCTTGGCGAGCGGAGCGAGTTGAAANCCTTTCTGATTAGATCAACCAGTTTCTAAGAATAGACTAAGATTTTGTCCCGTGTCTGAATCCATATGTCCAAACTCATGGGCGTTTCTAGGATATTTCAAATCTCTTGGCGAGCGGAGCGATTTGAAAAAAAAAATGGACCTTTTGTTTTGCTAAAAAACATAAATAATTGTGAAATGCACTTATGTTACGGTTCCTGACTCTTTTTTTTTTTTTTGAAAAGGGGGAGGGGGGCATATACGCCCATTATGCCCTCACCTGGACCGCCCCTGAAACTTGTTTGAGATGTTCTGTATAAATGTAACAATATCAGTCTTCAGAAGAGTCAGTGTTATAACGTCACCCTACAGCTCAAACAAATCCAGAAATAACTCTTCTCTGATTATTGCCAGGGAAATAACAGAGGGAGGCTGTCGGTTTGATAATTAACAGGGACAAAAATAAAATTTGAAAGCATTTTAAGTTATCTGGGGTTATATTATGTATATCCCATTCATTCAAATACACTAAAATTTCTGACTTAGAAAATCAACTTATCAAAAATATTTAGGGATGAAGCAGATCTTTCTAATATCTTTGTGGTAAGACTACAAATCAGTTACGTGAATATCACATGAAGACTGCAGGGCTTTAATTGTTAAATATAGATGTAACCGATTTGCATTGATATCGACATGATAGTTGAATAATTCCTGCAATGCATATAATTATCTAAGTATTCCATAATATATATGGCGTTGAAGTGTCTGTTTTGTCATTGCAAATGATATTCCTTGAAAAACCTAACTTAAAATATTTTTTTGTATCTTGATTGCAATGGTCTTAGTCATTATTTATGTCGGAGCCGAATGGAGCCGAATTGTATGAACTTAAAGTTATATGAAGAATAATTTCTGATTAAGAAATATGTGACTGGGAAAACTGCACGGCAGACGTTTCATCCTGATGTTATGGCTAGGATATTATATATTTTATCAAACATCTCTTCTTCTACTCATCATTTTGTCCACAGGGAATGGGCCAGCATGGTCTATATAGCCTTTGTCAGATAATATATTACATTATATAGGGGCAAGGCATCACGCTACTGTCCCTGTATACTTAATTAGGGAAGGAATGATGCCATAATGGCCATTGTTAGTGATATCTGTAGTATTTATTCTGTATCTGATGTGGGAATCTGACCCCAATCAACTCTTCATCTTCTCTCTGATGGTTTACTTACTGTATTAGTGTTAGTTTGAGCTCCAGAAGCTGGAAAGTCCCGGACTGTCACATACACTCAATCAGTATGTGTATAGGTGTACCTCACACAATCAGTATGTGTATAGTTGTGCCTCACTCAATCAAAATGTGTATAGTTGTGCCTCACTCAATCAGTATGTGTATAGTTGTGCCTCACACAATCAGTATGTGTATAAGTTGTGCCTCAACGTTAAAACTAAAAACGAATCTATAGCAATGATGTGAAGAAAAATACAGAAAAAATAAATAAAAAAATAATCTTTTTTTCTTTTCCAATTACCAAAATTTTAACAAATAGATATTAAAATCCTAAAAGTTGAAGATTGTAAATGTGTCTCCTAAATGTCAGGTTTACTGTAACATCTCATAAATACAATGAGATACATTTGTTAGACACAGTAGTGTTACTGTGGCTCGTGACAAAATTTTAGTATCATCAGGAGTTTTTTGTTGATATTTCACGCATGGTCGTACATTGACAGATCTAAAGGTGCACGTTGTGCATTTAATAACAGTCTGTTTAAGATTGTGTTAACATTTTTTAGACTTTTTAATCTGTTGTATGTACTATTTTATATTTATACATGTGATATTATTTACAAGCTACAGCACAGTGTGAATCCTAATATATATAAGGAGACTTATTACACACATGTACACATTCTCACTATAACTTCCTTGTAACGTATGATTGATGTGGTACACCTTAAGTTTAAATAGCTAAGCCTACAAACATGATAATGTTATCATAACTAAAATATGGATGAGGAAGTGTTTTTAACAATCAATAATATTCCTTGGCTTAACCTGCTTTGACTTGATCAAATATTGATTATACATGTATATACATGTCATATTTTACTACCAGGTATATGTAGATATTTTCATCCAATAGTAACAGATCATTAACTTTGTTTACTTTAACATACATATTGTAAAAGATTAATAAATGCTAATTACATCAGCACTGAATATTGACTGTAAAAAATTAAGATAAAATCATATTTCATTTTTAAGGGCATATTTTGTAATGCTGAACTAGTATTGACATTGTGTAATTATAACTTTGAACTTTGACCTGTGTTAACTGACCTGTTGACTTGTTTGTGTTTGTGCGGACCAGGATGACGTCATTGCCCGAGTAAGACTTTCATTTGTGTCTGTGTAGATACAGCATGGTGGCTTGCATGCAGTAGTTCAGGGCTACTCCAACATCAGATCTTTTTCATGTTTATTTAGATATCATGCAAACATTTTAAAATTTGAATCAAGTTTCATCAGCACACTTTATTTTAGTAAAAGCCAAATTTGAAAAATATCTGCAGGACGATTATATTTATTGAAGATTTTAATTCAAAAGTAGCATCATTGAACTGGTAGAGTGTAACAAGGACAGTGGCGGCCACTCCGTAATTGCCAAGTGGTGCGGTTTGGGGGGATGTTATAGAATGATACCTCAGGTTTGACTATGTCATGCTTTAAAAGTTGTCTTGTAAAAAAAAAATTCTTAGGATTATACCGTAAGAGTTTACCCAAACAAAAAATCCCATCTTTTTTTGTTCTGGAAACTCATGAAATATTTGTATAATGACAAATTAAAGGGTTGTACAATGTTACGTAATCTGTTCTGACAGGTTTCACAGTATTTTTTCCCACTGTAAATAACTTTTATTCAACAAGGTGGATATTTTGGCATATACATGTACAGTCAGGTGGAGATTTAGTCAATAAAAATGTCCATTATTTCTGATCATTTGTTCGATTATACATTTAGCAAGTTAATATATGTTCAGAAATATGTGATAATTTATTCAAAACACAATTAAAAAAGGGATGAACATTTCTTTTATTTTTTCATTTAAATAGAAATCAAAACCTTACGAATATGTCTAAAAAATAAACAGTCATGAAGATTTTAATGCTTTACAGTAGTTAATGGATGTCCATTTAGGAGCGTATTAACTCATTCACCCCTACAAAGTAAACTGAACTTGCCAAGTCTTTGATTTGGTAGGGTTCATATGTGACTTAGGGGTGAATGGGTTAAATCATTTGTTGTAATTAGTTTTGGCAGCTTCATTCCTTAGCCTATATGTATCTACAGTATCTTCATACTTTCATACATATTGTACCTGTATTGCTTTTGGGGTATCATTTTCAGATTTTTCATGGGAAATACCACAGGAGTTTGACATTGTATATATACATTTAGGCCAGATAGTCTACATATATGATATATATATGTATGTATACCTCCTTAACCCTTTCACCACTGTAGACCATGATGGACTCATTCAGATCAATGCATGGTAGAGTCTACTAAGTTACATAGGGGTGAAAGGGTTAACTACAAGAATACATCCAGGGGATACATTGGTATACATATATAAATAAAGACTATATGTATTAGGCCTACAGATTTTTTGATACCATGTCAAACTCTGGCAGAAAACATACACATGTATAATACCTTTGTTTTGGATGTTTTGATTTTGTTTCGCTGTGTACAGTGGTGGAAGTTTTTGTTGTAATCATATAGTACATTGTATACTGTCTTCTAAAAGTACAAATTTCACTTAAAAGTTAAACATTTCTTTTACCTTTTATCAATTCAATGCACCATGCAAATCACAAAAACTGGTATACTAATTCATAGTCTATAGAGATATAATGAGATGATGTAATAAATCCATGTTTGTTGTTTCCTTCCTGTGACTCTCTGTGTTAATTGTTTTGTGTACCACTTGTGTTAAATCTTACAATTTTATAAGATATACAACTAACAACTAGAACAGTATTGTTTATATAACAGACACTAGCTCCATTTCACTTTCCCCAGGCTGAAGCTGACTTGCGCGTGGCTCAGGCAGAGTTTGACAGACAGGCAGAGATCACCAAGCTGTTGTTAGAGGGTGTCAGCAGTGCCCATGTATGTGTATCATTGTGTTATATACTAAATCTTGTAGTACCTTCATATGATGAGATGCAACCAAAATTTGACAATTATGCAAAAATTCTAGTTTCCAAATCGCCAGGTTGTATTAAAAAATATTCTAAATATCTTAAATAAACTTCGAAAATGTGCACTTTTAAAGACGTGTGTTTCACCCTTAATCATATGTGCATTGAATTAATTTTAGTACAGAGATAATTGACGAAATTACGTCTTACTTTGTCGTTTTGTATATTTGTCCTAATTTCATTTCCTGTAAGTCAGGCTGAACAGTGAATTTATTCAAACAATTTGTATGATAATATTTACTGTATGTTTTAATTGTTTGGATGGTATGCAGGCTCACCACTTACGGTGTCTGAATGACTTTATCGAGGCGCAGACAACCTACTACGCCCAATGTCTGAAGTACATGCAGGACCTGCAGAGGCAGCTCGGAAGGTAGGTCAAGGTCAATTTGAGACGAGGGGAAGAAACTACAGTATTCTTTTGAATTCAGCGTTCCTTTGAAATTATTGAGGTAGACTTAATACTTTGACTGCATGGGTTGACATTTTTTCTGTTTCATAATTAATTAATAATCTGGAGTTTAGTTTTCACTGAAAAGGTCTTGGACCAAGAGTAAATTAAATTTTTGGTTTATGATCGATTATGAAGGAATGCTTTGTTGAACTGAATGAGGTGAATGCATGCTTGGCGGAGTTATACATTCTGGTTGTATCCCTGTATGTCATGAGTATTTATTTAAAGCACCTCCTATGAACATTATATTTGTTCTAGGGACTATGAAATATACTGATACAAATACACCTGTGCATAATATGTCCGTGCCTGTCTAACTATCTTATGTCCAAGGTCCCTCACCTGTCTAACTATCTTATGTCCAAGGTCCCTCACCTGTCTAACTATCTTATGCCCAAGGTCCCTCTCCTGTCTAACTATCTTATGTCCAGGGTCCCTCAACTGTCTAACTATCTTATGTCCAAGGTCCCTCACCTGTCTTACTATCTTATGTCCAAGGTCCCTCACCTGTCTAACTATCTTATGTCAAAGGTCCCTCACCTGTCTAACTATCTTATGTCCAAGGTCCCTCTCCTGTCTAACTATCTTATGTCCAGGGTCCCTCAACTGTCTAACTATCTTATGTACAAGGTCCCTCACCTGTCTAACTATCTTATGTCCATGGTCCCTCTCCTGTCTAACTTTCTTATGCCCAAAGTCCCTCTCCTGTCTAACTATCTTATGTCCAAGGTCCCTCACCTGTCTAACTATCTTATGTCCAAGGTCCCTCACCTGTTTAACTATCTTATGTCCAAGGTCCCTCTCCTGTCTAACTATCTTATGTCCAGGGTCCCTCAACTGTCTAACTATCCTTTTTCCAGGTCCCTCACCTGTCTAACTATCTTATGTACAAGGTCCCTCACCTGTCTAACTATCTTATGTCCAAGGTCCCTCACCTGTCTAACTATCTTATGTCCAAGGTTCCTCACCTGTCTAAATATCTTATGTCCAAGGTCCCTCACCTGTCTAACTATCTTATGTCCAAGGTCCCTCAACTGTCTAACTGTCTTATGTCCAAGGTTCCTCACCTGTCTAATTATCTTATGTCCAAGGTCCCTCAACTGTCTAACTATCTTATGCCCAAGGTCCCTCAACTGTCTAACTATCTTATGTCGTGGGTCCCTCACCTGTCTAACTATCTTATGTCCAGGGTCCCTCACCTGTTTAACTATCTTATGTCCAAGGTCCCTCAACTGTCTAACTGTCTTATGTCCAAGGTCCATCACCTGTCTAACTATCTTATGTCCAAGGTCCCTCTCCTGTCCAACTATCTTATGTCCAAGGTCCTTCACCTGTCTAACTATCTTATGTCCAAGGTCCTTCACCTGTTTAATTATCTTATGTCCAAGGTCCCTCACCCGTTTTGTATGGTTTAGTTACCCAGTGTATGTAAGCACTCATTTAGTGAAATGGTGAGCAGAATAGTTCTGAGTAAATAGTTTTGATGTTCCTAAGTTATGTTATTAAAAGATGCTATTAAACGATTTATCATTATTATTACTAACTTTAGTATAAAATTTGTAATGATACCATATTATATGATATATAGATGTTAGGTCATTGTGTTTTGTCAACCACCATATTTCATTCCTTTCTGAAGTTCCAGGGTATTATGCAGATGTGTCCATACATCAATTCCTTGATGCAATTCTATGTTAAATTCTACAGAATACTAAATAGATATAAGATGTAACTATATGACCATTTCATTGACCGTATTTCCATTCCTCGCTGACTAGTAGTTCGGAGGGGGAGTCGAGGTAAGTTAAACGGTATAGAAGTAACACTGTCTACATCATCAGCTGTTTTGCCGTTACAGGATTTTGAAGAAGATGTTTGCTTCTTGCATTTTTAAACATTTTCCTATTGCATGCCTATAGGTGTGGACTGGGCTGTTTTATTACATGTGAGTGAGAAGCACAGCCATGGTATAAACTATTCAGGGAAGGTGTATCATACTTATTCAAGTAAATTCAAAATTTTTATATTAAAATAGAAGTAGATATTATTGTCTTAAAAGAGGGACCACCATAAAATTGATATATAAATTAGATTTTAATTTTGTACACCTCCATGTTGTACATGATTGTTTTAAACGTTCTGTCTTGTTACTTTGTTTTGCTGCAATGTTTATCCTGTACAGCTGTTACATTGTTAATACATTTAACGAACCTAACATAGGGCTGAGGATTATATACAATTCATAGACGTGTTTATCATATTCAAGCAAAAAAACAAACCATTGCCTGACAGACTGGATTTGTTTTGTAATACTTGATCAGTACCAGGCAAGTGTGACAGGGGAGATAACTCTCATACAGAGCATATAGTTTAAGACACATTATGCTGGCAGAATGTAGTTAAATACATGTAGGTAAGAGGTCTCTTCTGCCTTGGAAGCATTGACAGTGTAAATTAAGAATGAATAAAGACAGAAGTCAACACACATAGTATTTTGCTTTTGTGATTACTTCGTGCCATATTTAATGCGCAAGTCTGCTCGACGACTGTTAAAAAAGGCAAAGGTATATAAACTGTATCACTTGAAAGAGTATCACTTGAAATTGAACAAGAGGTGTTGATTTCAAAAAAAAAATCTAAATCTACTCTTTAAGGGAATATAATTCACATTCACTTTTGTATACCAGAACTTAATCTATGGAGGGGAAGTAACTCCTAATAGTTTCAAAGTGTAGGAAATGAATTAGAATTGTTCAGGGAAAGATAGGGATGCCATGGCCTTGCTTCTATGATATACATATATATAATATATATACATATACAGTAACTAGTTGTATAATGAGACTGTATGTTAGATATCTCTCTAGTATAGGATGGCACTGGGACAGACCTTGTGTATATTTATAATCAACACCCATACCTAAAGACACTGTCAAGCATGTGTAAACATAATGGAAGCATATGACATAGTATGCCTTGAGCTAAACGCCTGGTGTTGGTGCTTTTCTGATACTTGTTGGACTGGTGAAATTGTTTCGTGCTGGACAATTGTTATAATAAGAAAATATAAATTTTTGTTGAGGTCACACTTCTATGAGAATCTCATCTATCAGTGTGGGAAAAAAATCAAAACATTTTGGCCACATAACATTGATACAACTTACATGGATTATTATTCAAGGAATATCTTCCATCGACGAAAAATACTGAAAAGCCACCTTCCCAAACGAATTAAGATGTATCGCTTTCCCAATTCAATTGAACGGGATTACTAATTAAAATGTGGTTGCCTTCATAGGAACAACATTGAAAATTCATAAAATCTGAGGAGTGGGAAAGAAAAGGGTAAATTGGAGATGTTTCAATTTGCTCTCAATTTTCCCAACTCATGGAAGGTGAAAATTTCCAAAAATCTGAGGAACATTTCAATCAATCTGAATAACAATGGTTGGATTTGATGGCAAGAAAATGCAGAAATGTTTGCATCAAGTACAACGAGGAACCTACTGCCATTCTTAGATCTGTTCTAATGGTTTTCTTTCAGTGCTACAAGTGTTATGTTTTGATCAATATTCAATACATACTCTCCTCTCAATCAGTTTGATTTTTTCTTTATACTTTTCTTAGCTTGTTTCCTTGGTTCGTTGAATGTTTTTGCTGTCTTTTCAGTTACAGTGTCGGTGGTGGAAACACTGCGCCAAATACCTTGGGTCCAGGTATATCAAATAACTATTCCACCGATCCCATGATACCTAGTGCACCTCCCATGATACAGGTCATAGCTGCTACTCCAAACACAGAGAAAAAACAAGCCCGTGTTCTTTATGACTACGACTCGGCCGATAGCTCAGAGCTCTCCCTATTGGCTGATGAGGTTAGCAGCACTCATGCTTCCATGGCAGCCCCTGTCATGACCTTTAACCCCACATGCCCCTAGATCTACCTAGGTGTCACAACAAGTAGAGTATCCTTTGTAATACAAATTATTAGAAAATTTTATAAAAAAAAAATATCTAGATTTAAGTCAAAGATGATTTCAATTCTTTGAATATTTTTGAAATTCACCAACACAAGTTAAACAAGTTGAGCTGTTGTATTATAAAGAAAGGGGGGTTGTGTGTATAAAACAACAACATCTGGCTTCATCCAAAAGAAAAGTGACATGAGGTCAACTACAGGTATAAATGCCTTTCATTGGTGCTGATATGACCTTTACCCTCATTTCCATTTGACCCTCTAGATCTTGGCCCCACTATGACTGGTCTGTTGGAACTCTAGGGATTAACAAAGGAATGGGAGGAGGATATCCGAGATTTTATCTCCTAGCTGTTATTGACTTTATACAACACATCAGTTATTAACTTCGACTGCTTAGATATTTGCCATTTAATGTAACTTGACCTATTACAACAACCGTGGTTTAGAAATACAAGGGACTGAACTTTAGCTCACAGGTTGCTTTTAATTTTGTGTTATAGATGATCATTTCCACAACATGCTCCATCGTTCTGTTGTAATCTGTTGTTGGCTGGAGTGGTCCTATCATTTGAGTGCCTTTTACACCTACTACTGTCACGAAGCTTATACAGGCTGCACTCACCAAGGTCAAAATGCTTCAGGCTGTGTGGCAAAATCTAAAAACATGTACAAAATATCTATACATTAATGGCTATAGGTATGATGGACATATTCTTCAAGCAAAATGTATTGAACGAGTGGATTCAAATTGCTAAAGACAAAAGCTGTGAAACATCCTTATTACAAAAAATATCAATTGATTTTATATAAAGACCGTCCTTTTTTAAAACAAAATACATTCATTTGATGAAAACTATTTCACCTTTTTTTGGTACTACATGTAATCATGCCTTGATTGGTTTGATGTTAAAGAAATGATTATTTTGTTCTCTTTGGAAATAAATTTCATCCAATATGCACACATTATTTTTAAGGTATCATATTTCAGAATTGATATGATATATTTTTTAATGTGTAATACATTTGATAACATCAATCTAGCAAATTGTCCACCTGATGGATGTAGGGTAACTGAAAATGAGGGTTAGGTCATGCAGTTCAGCTTTGGAGGTCAGGGGCACTGGGGTTATAAAGTTCATGACAGATTTAACTTTTTTATTTCAGATAAATGCTTGTAATTATGATGAAGGATTATGATCCATCTAAAGTTAGAAAAAAGCTTCATGCTAATTGTGGTACTAACATGTATACCTTGTGTTTAAACTAGAGGGTATCATTATCTTGAATTTAGATTTGATTACGTTTTTTAATCTCTTCCTTGTGCTATGTTTGTGCAATGAAAATTCATTTACCTACAAGTTAGATTTTAGTTAATTTTTATAAAGAAAAATCATTGACACATCAACGTAACAAAATGCAAATATTTATTGCTATTTATCTACCCAGAAATGTACATACCTTGCATATTTCGATCCTGAAGTTAGGAATGTCTCCAAAACAATAATAAGTATCCAGAAATCTGCCTCCCCATAGCCTGCTAGTCAAACCCACCCTGATCCTTATAGTAATCCAAGATTTACCTCCCTTTTATGAGATGATACTCCCTACATTGTACGACGGTCAGTTATGTTTGTTCTTGGAATAGGCCTGTCTACAAAACAGATGAAGTTTATAAAATTTAATGTCAAATGTATAAGATAATTTATATTCATGAGTATTTAACTGATGGAGATTTTAATTTTTTAATTTCATTGTTGTCATTTTAACTAAGTGGTGTGAGATTTCCAATAATCCTTGTTTTTATCGTGATATTAAATGCTGCTTTGCAACTTATAAATGACTTGCAACTTGCTGTCAGTGGGAATGAATGCTTGGTGTTGTTCTAGTAGATCCTGTGGAAGTAGAAATGGGAGAACGTTATTTCCTTGTGGTTTAGCATGCCTATGTTTGGTCGTTGGCAGACATTTAATTCAAACCTGTACAGCAATTCCATTGTAATGTCTGTTTAACATATAACTTATTTGTAAATATTGCTTACAGTAAACATATATCTGCTATTTGTCTGTTTATGTATAAGTTATCTGTGACAGGTTTTTTTAAATCTATTTTCGGAAACATCTGGTGGAAGATTAATTTACAGGAAAAGATATTCGTCATTATGATGGGGAGATTGTTATCCACTTTTAAAGCTCCTCACGGAATGACGCATTTGGAAAAACTATTCATGCTTCAGTTTTTAGAAGAAGAATGAAATAACCCAATAATCACCCATAAGTAAATAAAGTATCTCTCATGCATTAAAATTTTATTATTAAAATCATATTGAGATTGATTGTAAGTCATTGTTTAAGTGTGGTGACTTGTTCGGACAGTCCTTGGCAGTAAACTGTATCAGTGATATGAATGAACAAAGTTTGTCTTACTCAAAATGAAGTAAATCACACATTCTGTGCAGTAAAATTTGTAGCACTATATTTCATTTAACATAATTGTTTTTTAATTCTGTTACAGCTAATAACAGTGTATCGACTTCCGAATTTGGATCCTGATTGGTTAATGGCAGAAAGAGGCCCTCAGAAGGGAAAAGTACCAAGTACATATTTGGAAGTATTAGAATGATGGTACCTCTGTGAATAGCTGGACTTTCTATAAAATGACAACTCCGTTTTCACAATATTGATTGTTATAGAATGGTTTTTAACCATTTGGAATCAAGTTCTCCACACATAAACTCTCCCATGTTTTTAGCTATCTTCACGGTTTTACATTATGACGTTTTTTCCAGTATGTAAATGTTTGTTGACTAAGTTGATTGGTATAGATACGCATGGACTGAAACCATGCACATGATTTATAATTATACATGTACAAACGTAGATGATTTCATAAATTTTATCCATTGAATCAGTCTATATGTATATCAAGAAATAATTTGAACACAATATCATGTGCATAAAATATCATGTGCATAAAATATCATGTGCATCAAACATTTTTCTGACACTGATTTTCCTCATAATGCATGATTTGAGTGGCGTAACTGGATTACTTTGGTATACAGAGGTAAGGTAGATAAACCTGCAATAAGTTAAGATTTATGATCTTTAAATGAGGGAAACCAACTGTATGAACATCAAGCTGTTTTCAAAAATAGCACCTGAGTATTTCAGCATTAGTTTCCTTTGTGTACAAGGGTGTCATAGCTTACAAGCTTTCTGATGAGGGTATCTCCAAGACGTGAACGCAAGCCTCTAGAGGATCAAGATTTTTGGTTTTAGTCTGGTGAAGGCGTACATTCTTATTTCAGTGTTGATTTAATTTCTTTGTTTTAATGCTTTAAGCTTAATTCTTAATGAAAAATGAATTTTTAAATTTTACGTCTGTTGAAAACAGATAATATAAAGTGTATAAAACATGTTTAAAATGACTAAGTATAGATGATGTGGATGTTTAGGGTTTTATAGCTTCCTGCTTTTGATAAAAACATTGGTGCCACTTAAAAAACGTTGATCAGTAATGAATGCTTTTTAACTTTTTATCATATTTGTTCAGATGTCCTATACCATTAAATGTTGCTTACTGTGATTAAAACAACTATGAGTTCAGAAAAGAACCTTATGTTTATAGGCAAAAAACTTGTTTAAAACTTAGATTACTTTAAATACATAGATCTGTTGATTTTATAATCACAATTATTGTTTCAAAGTTATGAAAATATGATGTCACTGATACTGTCACTGATAATAATGGTATAATGGGCATATTTTATATCCCTGTTGTTTAAGACAGTTATTTATCAAATATTGAAGTTGTGATACAATACTGATTCATTAAAAAGCAGTGCATTCCATATAAATATAGTAAGTAGGATACCCAGGGTATTATAGTTACCGACGAATATGGCCAGTTCAGCTGAAACACCTTGTGACAAAGACATCCAGCAAATGATAATCTAACCAAAATAAATTCTATGTAATGCATACATGCTTCATTCTATGTAATGCCTATGTGTTTCTTACTGTAGTACAACCCCATGCAGACCAAATCACCATGGTATTCAAGATTATTTATTTTCTATTGATATTTTTTTCTAAATAAAATTCTGAAAAAGTTTATCACAATATTTGATGTTAAAACTTTTGTTTGAATGATGAATGGACCATTTCAAATAGTACAACTTGTTATTTTAGGGAAGTGTCATTAAAATTGGAACAAAAAAGGTAATTGTTGATTTATCACATGTACAATGTGTCCAGGACATCTCTCGTAAATCATGTCACCTACAATTGGCAATTTATTTTGAATGCGACTACATCTTCAGATGATGGATCAAGTGTCACATACTAAAACTATATACAGAGTATTACATACTAAATAAGGTATTTTGCCCCCTATTTTCAGATTATGGCCCTTTGTTTACTGGAAATCATTTATCTCTTGTAATGTGTCAGCTTCAATAACCAATTTTGTTATGCTAGTACCTATTGGGATTGTAGAGTGTCACACTCAGGAATAAAGTTTTGTGTCCAACTGTATACAGAGTTATGGTCCTTTGTACATTTTCAATACCAAAATTTTCCCAGAAATGAGTGACCATGGAATGCTCTCAATACATGGTCTTGTTTTCAGTGATTTGTTTATTTGATGCATTTTTGATGTCTCCTTCCCTCTTAAAAAAAAATAATTACAACAACAAACAACAAAAATGTAACAATAAGCATAGGCAAAACATAATCACGCGTGACTCAAACGTGAAAACTTGACATCTCAAACTGTAGCTAACAAAATTGCTCTAATTGTTGAAAATGCTGGCACTTTTGAAGTAGTCTATTCATAAGAATGATGTTTTTGATATGTAACACTAAAAAAAATAAAACTGTCCAACAATTACATATTGTATTTACCAGAGTTTATGGTGCATGGTACTTTGTTTTGCATGTTGTCAGAAAAACATGTGCATATTAGTTGATATACATATATAAATATACTGACATTGGAAAAGAAATAAAACTTTAAGGACCATGTGTTGTTCAATTAGCATGTGACATTTTACCGTTGGTGTCAAAACTATTATACAAAATAATAAATGTTTAACTACAGTATATATAACTCACATTTCCTCATGTTTCACTGTATATAGCTTACATATCCCCATGCTTTTACTATTTATGAAGCTCACAGTTCCCTGTGTTTCCTGTATATAGATCACAAGTCCCTGCGTTTGCCTAGATATAGCTCATAGGTCACTGTTTTACTATTTACATGAATCACAGGTCCCTTTGATTCCTATGCGAGAATTATAGCTGTGCACATCTGATTCTGGTCAGGTGAGAAATATCATTACAACATTGAGTTTGAATGAATGAAATATTTCATAATTGTAAATAGGACTTTCTCATTAATTTACACTAATAATTGTTTTTTGTCGGTAGAACATGGAGAGAATGACTATGATATTTAACTGCAGTTGGCATGGGTAGAGATTGACTATATGTTCCACTGTACCCCACAGAATACAGAGAACGTGAGTGATAATATACCCTGACTGACTGTATGTTACCAGGTTCTCTAAATAAATACGCTGTATATTAACTCGGTTTCAGAAATAAGTTAGTTTAACATATACATCCCCAATATACATGTAATACACATACACTTCCATTTACACACATGGACAAGTGTTGCACAAAGATTACACACATGGACAAGTGTTGCACAACAATTACACACATGGACAAGTGTTGTACAAATAGGATTACAGAGGTGTTGGAATTGCAATTAGAATGTTGATTTTTTTTGTACGTGTTAATATCTGGTGTGTTTATAAAGCACATACTAAGTCACTACAGTGTAGTTAGGGTGAACGTGTGACCACACCCCATGTCACATGGTTACATGTCTAGTGTTGTCACTTGATGGTCGAGAGCTGGTGTGGCTTTGTAGACATAGAATAAACAAGAAAAAATTGATGCATTTCTTAATAAAAATTATCTTTCTAGCCATCTCAGAAACCAGCTCCCTCTGTCTGATCACAGTTTCGTTTCAGGTTTCTCAATATACACCCACATATTTTGAAAAATGGATCTGGTTTCCATGTCTTACCTTTAACGAGCTGTAAGTACAGGTAGCTTGAATTCACTTAAAATTAACACATCCTTCTTACCATTGCCTTAGGTTTACAGGAGACAATATAAACAGTTTAATATGTTGCTTATAGGCCATACGATCAGCTTTGTCTTCAAAATTAGTCTTTCTATTACATTTGTCAAGCTTGCCTGCATGGATAGTTTCTGCTGTCGACCAAAATTATGTTTTCTCTTATTTACATTGTAAACATGACATGATGTATGCTCTGTCATAACCAACCTACATATGTAAGTCATAACCGACCTACATACATAAGTCATATCCGACCTACATATGTAAGTCATAACCGACATACATATGTAAGTTATGACATTTTGCCAATATACTTTATGGAAAATGTCACAGCTAGCATACATAGTGTTGCAGAAGTAATATTATAACTGGCATACATTGTATAAGTTATGTCAGCTAGCATCCTTTGTATAAGTAATGTCATCACTGGCATTCTTTCTATAAACTGTCATGGTTGGCAAACATTGTTCAAGTTATTTTTAACTGACATATAATGTATAAACTATGCTACATTAAGCCTACAAATATTTGCTGTTAGCACTAGCATATCACACAGTAATTGGTCCTAGTAAGGTTGTAGATCCATCAATGACGGTGGAAGTTTAGGTTACACAACGCAATAGCAATGAGATTTATCTGCAATCCCCTGTACATTACCCTAGTAGGCACCAGCCCAGGACTGTACCACGATATTCTCTGTATATAGGGTCAAAGTATAGTCAACCCTCAAATAAACTTTATAAAACAATTACATTTTCTTACTTTGTCTTCTTTATGTACAATTAACAAATGGAAAAGAACACCCTTCAGGCCAGGGTACTATAGTGATTGCCTAGTAATACTTCCTATTGTGACTCTGACCTTTGGCCAAGGGTCATGACAGTGATATGTTGACCATGGTTGAGGTTGACCAAAGAAGGGGATATATGACAGAAACAACCCCATGATCTTTGACTTATAATTTTGACTTTGACCTTAAATGGTTGAGGATCAAATAATCGATGTTGAACACATTGTCTTTTGGTGAAATTCATTTACAACAATTATGAAATATATTTTTCAACTTAATCACTCTGGATGGAAGTGCAGAGAATCTAATTATAATATATATATATAAATGTGGGAGGAAACCAGAGTACCCGGAGAAAACACATGGTTTGGCAGGTGACCCAGTACATTTTAATGTAAACCCCAGCCGTCTTGGTGAAAGACAAATGTGCTATTCTCTGCACCATCCAGTACCACTCTTGTATATACATTCAGCGCTTCAAAACGTATGTTTCAGATGTTAATTTGATGACAACAATTAACCTACTATTGCAATTGAGAGAGATCAGAAAGGTTGTACCCAACAAACTTTATGAGGTGATACATCATGAATAGCTGGTAGATGGACAGACAGATAGACTAAAAGAAAATGCTTAAAATCATAAGCTGAATATACATGTATCCCCAGAAGACTATCAAAACCATGCTTTTCTCAAAGCCTCTTTCTGAATACTTCAAACAGACAATCTTCAGGTTTAAAGTTGTCTACCCTGGCCTCTAATTGATTGAGGCATTTTCTACTTTTTCTCAACCTACTTTGACAACATTTGATACAAAGTGCGAGGAGGCACCAAAACCTCAGGAAGTAGGGAGATACTAAAGGAGCAGAAAGCGAAGAGACGCCAAAATAACAGGAAGTGTGGTGACACCAAAGCAACCGGGACTTATGCTACATCAAAACAACAAGAAAATAGTTGAACCTAACATAAAATCAGAAGTGAAGCTACATTGTAGGTGCCCCGGAAGAATATTTCCTCTTCCAAATCACGTTACAATTTTTTTTCCCCAAGTTCTCTTAGTGGAACAGATATTTTTCAAACTTTCCTCGATTTCCACCTGACCAACAGAAAGAGCGATCTGACAAAGGCTATCATTTTCATGACGATGTTTTGAAGTGTACAACAACTCAACACTACCACCTACAGGTGATGTCACTGCAGAGTCTCTTGGTTCTCCTTCTAACAATAACTACATCTTTTTGGGTAGTTTCACAGACAGGCGGCATCACTTTGGGGAATGTCTTACCAAGTCTGTCAATAATCACAACACTGTCACAGACAGGCGGCATCACTTTGAGTAGTGTCTTACCAAGTCTGTCAAACACAACGCTGTCACAGACAGGCGGTATCACTTTGGGTGGGGTCTTACCAAGTCTGTAAATAAACACAACACTGTCACAGACAGGCGGCATCACTTTGGGTAGTGTCTTACCAAGTCTGTAAACAATCACAACACTGTCACAGACAGGCGGCATCACTTTGGGTAGTGTCTTACCAAGTCTGTAAATAATCACAACACTGTCACAGACAGGCGGCATCACTTTGGGTAGTGTCTTACCAAGTCTGTAAATAAACACAACACTGTCACAATCAGGCGGTATCACTTTGGGTAGTGTCTTACCAAGTCTGTCAAACACAACGCTGTCACAGAAAGCGGTATCACTTTGGGTAGTGTCTTACCAAGGCTGTCAATAATCACAACACTGTCACAGACAGGCGGTATCACTTTGGATAGCGTTCTACCAAGTCAGTCAACAAACGAAACACTATCACAGACAGGTGGTATAACTTTGGGTGGGGTCTTACCAAGACTGTAAATAAACACAACACTGTCACAGACAGGCGGCATCACTTTGGGTGGGGTCTTACCAAGTCTGTAAATAAACACAACACTGTCACAGACAGGCGGCATCGCTTTGAGTAGTGTCTTACCAAGTCTGTCAAACACAACACTGTCAGAGACAGGCGGTATCACTTTGGGTAGTGTCTTACCAAGTCCGTCAATAATCACAACACTGTCACAGACAGGCGGTATCACTTTGGGTGGGTCTTACCAAGTCTGTAAATAAACACAACACTGTCACGGACAGGCGGCATCACTTTGGGTGGGGTCTTACCAAGTCTGTAAATAAACACAACACTGTCACAGACAGGCGGTATAACTTTGGATAGGGTCTTACCAAGTCTGTCAATAAACACAACACTGTCACAGACAGGCAGTATAACTTTGGATAGTGTCTTACCAAGTCTGTCAATAAACACAACACTGTCACAGACAGGCGGCATCACTTTGGATAGCGTTCTACCAAGTCTGTCAACAAACAAAACACTGTCACAGACAGGCGGTATCACTTTGGATAGCGTTCTACCAAGTCAGTCAACAAACAAAACACAGTCACAGACNACTGTCACAGACAGGCAGTATCACTTTGGGTAGTGTCTTACCAAGTTTGTCAATAAACACAACACCGTCACAGACAGGCGGTATCACTTTGGGTAGTGTCTTACCAAGTCTGTCAATAATCACAACACTGTCACAGACAGGCTGTATCGCTTTGGGTAGTATCTTACGTGTATACCAAGTCTGTCAATAAACACTACACTGTTACGTATAGACTGTGTCACTAGGTATTTTCTTCCCAAGTCTGTAAATAAATACATCACTGTCACAGCCAGGTGCCATCACTTTGGATAATGTCTTAACAAGTCTGTCAATAAACAAAACACTGTCACAGACAGGCGGTATCACTTTGGATAGAGTCTCACCAAGTCAGTCAATAATCACAACACTGCCACAGACAGACGGTATCACTTTGGATAGAGTCTCACCAAGTCAGTCAATAATCAACACTGTCACAGACAGGCGGTATCACTTCGGGTAGTGTCTTACCAAGTCTGTCAATAAACACAACACTGTCACAGACAGGCAGTATCACTTTGGGTGGCGTCTTTCAAAGTCTGTCAATAAACACAACGCTGTCACAGACAGGCGGTATCACTTTGGGTAGTGTCTTACCAAGTCTGTCAATAATCACAACACTGTCGCAGACAGGCGGTATCGCTTTGGGTAGTATCTTACGTGTATACCAAGTCTGTTAATAAACACTACACTGATACGTATGGACTGTGTCGCTGGGTATTTTCTTCCCAAGTCTGTAAATAAATACATCACTGTCACAGCCAGGTGCCTCCACTTTGGATAATGTCTTAACAAGTCTGTCAATAAACAAAACACTGTCACAGACAGGCGGTATCACTTTGGATAGTCTCACCAAGTCAGTCAATAATCACAACACTGCCACAGACAGACGGTATCACTTTGGATAGAGTCTCACCAAGTCAGTCAATAAACACAACACCGTCACAGACAGGCGGTATCACTTTGGGTAGTGTCTTACCAAGTCAGTCAATAATCACAACACCGTCACAGATAGACGCCATCACTTTTGGTAGTGTCTTACCAAGTCTGTCAATAAAAACAGGAAACAGCGAGTATTGGTAAACGGATAAATGTCAAAATGGATTGAGGTAACAAGTGGTATCCCCCACGGAAGCGTTTTAGGGCCGACACGAGGAAACTGGAGCAGCAGATATACGAAGTGTTGAGAAACGTGATGTTGACTGGTTGTTTCCTTGAGATGATCTAAGGCTTGGATATTCACGGATAGAATCCTCTTTTGACTTTTGCCAAATATCAAACGTTAATATCAACAAGTCGGTGTCCAGGGGTGTCCAGTATTGTTCTTGTATCTACTGGTATCTCCTATTAAGAAAGACATGGATGCTTCTTTAGGATTCAAGATTTGATATAAACAAGAAGGTAGAAGCAAAAAAAATAGTATATCAAAATGCATATAATGGTAAGAAAATAATGAAGTTTAAGAGTCAAGGAGTGGATCGAGGTATGGGATATGTTGAGGACTAATTTGTTGGTTGACAAAGACAAATCGGGGACCGAGAGTGTCCATGAAGGAAACTCCAACCTCGGAACTCTAGGCGAGGCCATAGACAGGTTCTGCTTGTGTTAAATCGCTATTCAGAGAATGGATATGATAAAAATCGAAAAGTTCAGCAATAACAACGATCATTTCATACATGTGCTTTTACATTTTTCTCTGCCAGTTATTATGTAATGCTGACCTGCTGTTCCAAAATTATTATAACTGAATATTGATCATTTGTTCATGAGGAAGAAACGTTTTTAGTTTTTCTATAGACATTGATCTTGTTTTGCGTCTCATTAATGATTTGGCACTAAAACATTTCTGAAATCCTTTTCCTGTTTGTTACAGCTCTCCTGACATGATGATTGATACGTTGCTGTTAGTCCTAATATCGTCTATGTAAATAATAAAGAGACCAATGTGTGTATCTAATGAAGTCAATATAATATAAGCGTATGGCGTCCTTGTTAGTACTTGTAACAGAGGCCATGGAAGTGCTAATGATGCTCATCTTACAGCTTATAGAATCCTTAAAAGTTCTGATGATGCCCCTGTGACAACTATAATAGAATCCTGGAAAGTTCTGATGATGCCCCTGTGACAACTATGAAAGAATCCTGGAAAGTTCTGATGATGCCCCTGTGACAACTATTATAGAATCCTTAAAAGTTCTGATGATGCCCCTGTGACAGCTATTATAGAAGCCTTAAAAGTTCTGATGATGCCCCTGTGACAGCTATTATAGAATCCTTAAAAAGTTCTGATGATGCCCCTGTGACAACTATTATAGAATCCTTAAAAGTTCTGATGATGCCCTGTGACAACTATTATATAGAATCCTTAAAAGTTCTGATGATGCCCCTGTGACAACTATTATAGAATCCTTAAAAGTTCTGATGATGCCCATGTGAAAACTATTATTGAATCCTTAAAAGTTCTGATGACGCCCCTGTCACAACTATTATTGAAGCCTTAAAAGTTCTGTTGATTCCCCTGTGACAACTTTTATAGAAGCCTTAAAAAGTTCTGACGATGCCCCTGTGACAACTATAATAGAATCCTTAAAAGTTCTGATGATGCCCATGTGAAAACTATCATTGAATCCTTTAAAGTTCTGATGATGCCCCTTTCACAACTATTATAGAATCCTTAAAAGTTCTGATGATGCCCCTGTGACAACTATAATAGAATCCTGGAAAGTTCTGATGATGCCCCTGTGACAACTATTATAGAAGCCTTAAAAGTTCTGATGATGCCCCTATGACAACTATTATAGAATCCTTAAAAAGTTCTGACGATACCCCTGTGACAACGATAATAGAATCCTGTAAAGTTCTGATGATGCCCCTGTGACAACTATTATAGAATCCTTAAAAGTTCTGATGATGCCCCTGTGACAACTATTATAGAATCCTTAAAAGTTCTGATGATGCCCCTGTGACAACTATAATAGAATCCTGGAAAGTTCTGATAATGCCCCTGTGACAACTATTATAGAATCCTTAAAAATTATGATGATGCCCCTGTGACAACTATAATAGAATCATGGAAAGTTCTGATGATGCCCTTGTGACAACTATTATAGAATCCTTAAAAAGTTCTGATGATGTCCCTGTGACAACTATTATGGAATCCTTAAAAGTTCTGATGATGCCCCTGTGACAACTATAATAGAATCCTGGAAAGTTCTGATAATGCCCCTGTGACAACTATTATAGAATCCTTAAAAGTGCTGATGATGCCCCTGTGACAACTATAATAGAATCCTGGAAAGTTCTGATGATGCCCCTGTGACAACTATTATAGAAGCCTTAAAAGTTCTGTTGATTCCCATGTGAAAACTATTATTGAATCCTTAAAAGTTCTGATGATGCCCCTGTGACAGCTATTATAGAAGCCTTAAAAGTTCTGATGATGCCCCTGTGACAACTATAATAGAATCCTGGAAAGTTCTGATGATGCCCCTGTGACAACTATAATAGAATCCTGGAAAGTTCTGATGATGCCCCTGTGACAACTATAATAGAATCCTTAAAAGTTCTGATGATGCCCCTGTGACAACTATAATAGAATCCTGGAAAGTTCTGATGATGCCCCTGTGACAACTATAATAGAATCCTGGAAAGTTCTGATGATGCCCCTGTGACAACTATAATAGAATCCTGGAAAGTTCTGATGATGCCCCTGTGACAACTATAATAGAATCCTGGAAAGTTCTGATGATGCCCCTGTGACAACTATAATAGAATCCTGGAAAGTTCTGATGATGCCCCTGTGACAACTATAATAGAATCCTGGAAAGTTCTGATGATGCCCCTGTGACAACTATAATAGAATCCTGGAAAGTTCTGATGATGCCCCTGTGACAACTATAATAGAATCCTGGAAAGTTCTGATGATGCCCCTGTGACAACTATAATAGAATCCTGGAAAGTTCTGATGATGCCCCTGTGACAACTATAATAGAATCCTGGAAAGTTCTGATGATGCCCCTGTGACAACTATAATAGAATCCTGGAAAGTTCTGATGATGCCCCTGTGACAACTATAATAGAATCCTGGAAAGTTCTGATGATGCCCCTGTGACAACTATAATAGAATCCTGGAAAGTTCTGATGATGCCCCTGTGACAACTATAATAGAATCCTGGAAAGTTCTGATGATGCCCCTGTGACAACTATAATAGAATCCTGGAAAGTTCTGATGATGCCCCTGTGACAACTATAATAGAATCCTGGAAAGTTCTGATGATGCCCCTGTGACAACTATAATAGAATCCTGGAAAGTTCTGATGATGCCCCTGTGACAACTATTATAGAATCCTTAAAAAGTTCTGATGATGTCCCTGTGACAACTATTATTGAATCCTTAAAAGTTCTGATGATGCCCCTGTGAAAAAAATTGATAGAAGCCTTAAAAGTTCTGATGATGCCCCTGTGACAACTATAATAGAATCCTGGAAAGTTCTGATGATGCCCCTGTGACAACTATTATAGAATCCTTAAAAGTTCTGATAATGCCCCTGTGACAACTATAATAGAATCCTGGAAAGTTCTGATAATGCCCCTGTGACAACTATAATAGAATCCTTAAAAAGTTCTGATGATGCCCCTGTGAAAACTATTATTGAATCCTTAAAAGTTCTGATGATGCCCATGTGAAAACTATTATAGAATCCTTAAAAGTTCTGCTGATGCCCCTGTGACAACTATAATAGAATCCTTAAAAGTTCTGATGATGCCCCTGTGACAACTATAATAGAATCCTTGGTACTGCTAATAAAAGATAGGATTCCCTGTTACTGATAATTGAGTATCTGGAAGTTCTAATAATGCTCATGTACTGCTAATAGAGAATAGAAGTGCTATGATTCCCTGTAACCGATACTAGAGTCTCATGAAGTTCTATGGAATATCCTGTACAACAAATAGATAAAATAAGTGCTATGATACCCTGTACATTTATAACTGATAATTGAGTCTCAGGAAGTTCTAATAATGCTCCTGTACTGCTAATAGATAATAGAAGTGCTATTATACCCTGTACATTTATAACTGATAATTGAGTCTCAGGAAGTTCTAATAATGCTCATGTACTGCTAATAGAGAATAGAAGTGTTATGATTCCCTGTAACCGATACTAGAGTCTCGTGAAGTTCTTATAATATCCTGTACAACTAATAGATAAAATAAGTGCTATTATACCCTGTACATTTATAACTGATAATTGAGTCTCAGGAAGTTCTAATGATGCTCCTGTACTGCTAATAGATAGAAGTGCTATGATACCCTGTAACTGATAATAGAGACAAGAAGTGCTAAATGATACCCTGTTAGCTTAAGTGAAGTTAATATCTACTATATAGCTGCCGGTTATTTTGCGTGCCTTAATTTTTTTGCGAATGTTATATTTAAAGATAAAGAGGAAATTTGATCAATCAAAATTTCGTAATCTGGAGATATTAGGGTATCTATAGTTTTCGCTATGTAAATAGAGTCCTTGTTAACCTTTTTTATGCGCTAATGAGGTAAATATGTATATCGATGGCGTCCGTGATCTTTACCAATCAGGTATAGTTACGTCATTGAATTCCTCACCGTGACACAAGGAGTAATATGGTTATTTTATTATAGTGCATGTCTTGTTTTTATTAGTTTACAATAAACCTGTCTGCGAGAAATGTAATAAACTATATTGATCATAGGAAAAATTTAATGACATATTGGAATATATGCATTACCAATATTTCATTGCACCGTCCTAAACTCATTTAGTCAGCGCGCGCGTTGCCGTACCAGTTGATATCACAGGTGTCCCACCTGTTTTGATATGATGCTGTCGTTATAATGAGCACTCGTCCCTGTCCTAATTGTATCGATTTTCTATTATTTAGTGGAACTAATTATATGCTATTAGAATTGTTCATGGCTTTCCCAATTTCACGAGGACACTTTAACCGGATGTACCACTGACACTCATTAATCATTTATTCATAGCTATTTTTTATTGCATAGCTGTAGCGCATACACAACTCGGGCATGCTCGAATGATTCCTATAATAAGCTATAATTCAGCGTGCCATGTTTCGTTACTTGACAACGGATGCTGACTGTAGAACAAGGAGGCTTATACGTTTAATCCTATAGATACGTGCGGGTCTATTGTTACCGACCTGACTAGTTGTCCGTGAGGGATTGGAGTTATGTGGGCCTGATATCACATTTACCACTTCTTTGAAAGTAAGTTATACCTACTTGTGATATTCATTTAACATTTATTATACATTGTGATTATAAAGAAAACACGTGACAATGTCCATCTTATTGAAGGTACAAATGTATAAAAAAAAACACCAGCGTTTTTGGTTTAATTACGTTTGGTACATGTTTAAATCTAATTATTTTCATTCGATACAAAACTTCTATCTTAAATTTGCCAACTGTTTGTTTCACATTTAACTTTTAACATTTAAACATTTATCAAAATGTTATGAGTAAGAAAAAAAAGTTATATGAAATGTACTTATATTTTTCAATCAGACGTTTTTAAGAAAAAAATTACTTATATGGTTAAAAAATAAGTTCTGTAACTTGTTCTTCTCATTGGATAATCACAAGTGTTTGAGTTTGCGAACAGAACAAAGAATATGTCTACTTGAGTCTGAGTAAATATTCGCAATCTGGTTAACATTGCGATCGTATCCCTCGCGAATTAACGCGAAAAGAAATTTCGATATGTCATAAAAATAAGAGATTAAAAAAACCCAAAGCTGACCCATGTTTCACTGACGTTCCTTTAACTTAATTGCAAAGAAAAGTCTTAAAACTATTTACCTTAACTTAAGGATTCCTTATATCTGACAGGAAAGAAAACTTAGTATTGAAATTACTTAATTTAAGAAGGGTTCGTGAAACTGAGCTAACTCGAAAGTGGTAACTAAATGAGACTGTTAAACCAATATTAAGCCTTTGATATATAACTCTATCATGGAAACACGGTATATATAATTATATCAGAGGCTTGATATTGGGTTTATACCCAATGTATAACGAAATGTACAGATGACGCTTTATTTTATTGTGATATTACATATATGAAGTATTTAACTGCGTCCCAACTATAGGATAAACTCCTTATNCCCCCCGGGGGGGGGGGGGGGGGGGGGGGGGGGGGGTTAAGGGGCATATACTGGAATCAGCTTGTCTGTCTGTCTGTCTGTCTGTCTCTCCGTAGAAAAAGGTTAGCATTTAGCTTACAGTTCTGGTTTATATAGGAGCGGGGGTATTAATTAGCCTTTAGCTTACAGTTCTGGTTTATATAGGAGCGGGGTGTATTAGTTAGCCTTTAGCTTACATTTCTGGTTTATATAGGAGCGGGGGTATTAGTTAGCCTTTAGCTTACAGTTCTGGTTTATATAGGAGCGGGGTGTATTAGTTAGCCTTTAGCTTACAGTTCTGGTTTATATAGGAGCGGGGGTATTAGTTAGCCTTTAGCTTACAGTTCTGGTTTATATAGGAGCGGGGG